GGTGTTTCAAAGAAAAGTGCTAAGGGTGAGGTCTGCAAGGATCTCACTGGCTGTGTTTTGACTCTGGAGACATCCCACACTAGCATGATACTGATGGAGTGGCTCACACCTGCATGGGTTACCATTTTTGTTATCAGGGAACCTACAGTAAAAAGACAGGGCCCATTTTGAGTTGTTTTTTGTGCATGATGTGAGGTAGTAGTCTAGCTTTGTTCCTTTGTATGTAGTAGCACAGTTTTCTCAACACCATTTATTGAACAAACTTTCCTTTTTCCATTGTGTATTATTTACTCCTTTGTCAAAAATTAGTTGCCTGTAAATCTTTGCATTTATTTCTGGGTTTACTGTTCAATTTCATTGTTCTGTGTGTCTGTTTTTGTTCCAGTACCATGCAGTTTTGGTTATTATAGCTTTGTAGTATAGTCTGAGTTCTGGGCTGTGATACCTCCATTTCCCTTCTTTTTAGTCAAGATAGGGTATACATTGTATGAAAATGAAGAATCATGTGGTATATGTGTGTGTGTGTGTGTGTGTGTGTATACACACACACACAAATAAATAAAAATAAAAATGGGGGGGGGAGAGCCCAGAGGACACAGAGTTGATTTTATAATTTTATGTTAGGTAACCTTTAAGGTTCTAACAGTCCAAAGTGAGTCTTTTAAAGAAGGGAGCCATTCCTCCAGCCAGCTACTTCTTCTCTGGGACTGTTCCTCACACCAGCTCCTGTTCTGTGGCTCCATTATCAATTGATTGCTCTATATCTCTCCTCTCCTCTTCCCAGATTCTGCTCCTGAGAGGTCTTTGAGCAGTGTTCCGTAGGCTGTGGTGGCTTTGAAAGCTCAAACTACCCCCTGAGACTTACACATTTCAGAGGGGTTCTGAATGTTGATAGACACCAACAACTTTTAGATCAGGTGGTTTTTAGATGCATTCTCTGTTCCTATTGAGTTGGGAGTGAAAGATGGGAGGGTAAGGAGTCAAACCTGCGCCTCCCATTTTGTGTAGAATGGCAAGAAGTAGAGATTTACATGTGACCACTAACATTCAGGGGAAGACTAAGGGTATCATCTCCAGTGACCTGTCCTTGATAAGTCAGCAGTCTTTAATGGAGAAGGGCTTCCTAGGGCCTCCACAGTCTCCAAACTGTCAATATTTCTAACATTTCTAGTCCTAAGAATAGTAAGAGAATCTAGAGAATTCCTGAAAGAGGAAAGATAGTTGAACAGAAATAGGGCAAAATTCTCAGTTTCTCCTAGCAAGGCAAAAGGAACAGAGAAATAAGAGACCAGAGGATTTAGTGACCTAAAGTGCCACAGAGTCCTGGGGCTGAAATTAGAGAAGCTGGTGGGTGAGGGGGATCAGATGGCAGGAAAGTTACAATTCTATACCAGCCATGGGGAATGACAAATTAAAAAGTGTAAAAGTGGGGGCTTCATCTTTAACGAGTTTATGGTAATTTCATTGTGGATTAGAAATTGATATATTTAAAATAATTTGTAATTTGGTGCAAAACTGCAGTGTTGACCAAAAAGAAGAAAGAAGGAAAGAAAGAAAGAAAGAAAGAAAGAAAGAAAGAAAGAAAGAAAGAAAGAAAGAAAGAAAGAAAGAAAGAAAGAAAGAAAGAAAG